AGCGCGCGAAAATTCATTCATGACAACCGACTGCACACCAGTAACTCGATAAAGTTTCATCTTCAGACAACTGTGAAGACAGTTTCGCATTTCTGGAAGAAGAACGTCGGCCATTACTTTGGAAACAATGTCTGTCAAAAGATTTGCTTTGTAAACATTAGCACACGCGTCAGCAGCGTGCACCCATGAGCAAATAGTAGACGCTAGATTAACCAATCAGAGCGCGCGCTTTGCTTTAGTTATGTTATGAATAGAATTATTGTCCCATATCATGGGGACAACCCCAATACTAGAAATGGCGCGCGCTTACGGTCTCCGTCCCCAATTATGGCTCCTGTCTACATACAAGCCAAGTGGCCCATCAGGCCGGCGCTTATCTCCGGTTTCTGTCGCATGAAGCGACTAGGAGTATTTCTACTCCCCCCTGGATCGGATGCTAGTCCACTGCAGGGTTAACCCCAGTATTAAATTCGTTCGCCGGTATTTTCTTGCCTGTACCCATTTATACACCTGGAGGCACTGCGAGAGTAAAGTGTCCAAGAACACTGAACAATGTCCCCGGCCAGGACTCGAACCCGGACCCCTCGATCCGGAGACGATCGCACTAACATGCATGAAATGGCTTGGACCCGAGACGCATCAGAAACGCCGATGCTTTCTCAAAGTCCTTCGTGGTTGTAGGAAGTCCCGCGCTCTTCGTACTCGGGTTTCCCTGGATGGCGGAATCCCCCTCACCCCCGCCGCCCACCCCCCACCTCCCACCTTTGCAACTCGACTTGCTTGTAGGCAAGTCGTCTGACGCATGTCCACTTTATATTAGGCAGGCCAATGTAAGGGAAAATATACGAGCTTTTCTAATTTGTAGGGACGGGCAAAAGTTTCCATAAGAAGTGGGAGTTCAGGAAACCTAGTTATTAAGCGAGAATCACCATGATTAATGGCTAGCTCTGCAAGCAGGCAAGATGGACCAAAACCTACATTGCAATCGGCTACCTAAACGAACAAGACAGACCCCGATCGCGATTACCTCAGTGTGTGCCTCAAGAAAATGGAGTTCTTTGTAGAATTATAATATTCTTTTGTTGACCAAGTTCTTGAAGAGTTTGTATCTTGTCCTCTCTCTTGTCTGTACACGTTTGATCAACCTCGTCCCCAGGGCCTTCTCCACGAGGTTGCTTTCTTTCACCGTACTCGTTTCGCGCGTTATTTGTACTCTACGAGGGGTGTTGAATGATGCCACAAATAATTTGACTGCATAGATGAAATATTGAATTACTTTTATACGAGTTTATTTGTTTTCTTTCTTTCTTTGTTTATTTTTGGTTTGTTTGTTTGTTTGTTTGTCTTTTTCAGGATGGTCTTGGTACAGATAAAGAAATGTGCCTCTCTTTCCTCGCTTACTACCCGAAACTGAATTTAACGAGATGCTGGTCGAGCTACAAACCTGCTTTCAAAAAGTTTCAGAAAGCATTTGTGAAGTGAGTTTGCGACATTTTTTCCGTCGTTTACTTTGCAAGTAGAATATAGTTTGCCAGGTTCCTTTCCCATTTTTCGGTAATTTTTAAATTCTGAATTTTTTTTTATCATGTAGTCTTAATTTTATACAGAGCCCCTTTTGATACCAGCCTATGGCTGATGGTGCTACCCTGCCTAAATAAAGATGACTTGACTTCACTTGACTTCTGTGTTCTGATCTATTGCCGAGTTCAGTTCACTCGCATCGGTTGAGTGGAACACAGCGAATCTGAAAATGAAACGAGATCCCATTAATCGATGTAGTCAACGTCAAACTTTGACCAATGCTCGTTTTTCGCCCAACAGCTGAATCCTGAATCTGAAATTAAAAGTCACCTAAAACCAATTTTGATGACTTTTCCTTAAAAAAAAAAACCGTCAGCTTAGATGCAATCGGTCGCTTGCATTGTGAATTGGCAACACCAATGGCTGAACTGCCAGATCATGATAGAGCGGAGGGACGTGGGGGAGGTAGGGGTGAATGAATACATGAATGAACTTTATTTGGACTGTAATTCGCCTTACGATTAAAGTAACTATTCTTCTTTCATTCGTAGTGTCCCAGGGGGATGGAAAGGGTGGACAGATAAGTTGGCCTCTGAACTACGTAAAAGTTATCAAGAAACGGACGAGATTTACGCATATTGCAGCGTCGGCAACGGTAATCCTTTACCGGTGAGCATTTAGAATCAGAGTTACAAAATACCGCCCAGAATATCTGCGACAACCCCTGTTTAACTCCGAACTACTTCTTGCTGTCGTAAATTTCGGCCGTGATTTTTTAGTGACATCTCTATAAACCAAAGCAGACAAATAGAGCAGCGATCACTGAACAAGTTTCATGCTGAACGTTGTCACATCTTTCAAAAACTTATCTCCCGAAAGGGGAAAAATTCCATTGTCTGGGACGTACCAATATTCGGGGGGTACTCCCTTATATGGGCTATATAGGTATGTGCGGCCCTTAAGGGTATGGTTTTTCAGCCGTTTTGGTCATAAATAGGGTATGGTTTTTGCACTCTAGCCTTGATATGGGTATTTTATTTAAGCAGAAGCCATTTTTTTCGTCATTATCGAAAAGAAAATCAACAAACGCCCTTCACCAATTATGTTTACGGTAATTTAACATTGGTCTGAACTAGGGAACTAATTATAAGGCAGGTCTGAAACAGGGTTTTGATTTAAGGGTCAGGTCATAAATAGGGTTTCGAATTT